GCCCTTCACACCGGCCTATGATGGCCCTTTGGCATATTTATCGTACGCGAAAAATGTCCACGCTGGACGTCAGCGCCCGTGAAGACACCGTGGCTGCCAAACGACTAAAACCTGCATACACCACCGATCTCACGTCCACAGGAATTACATCTGCAGTCTGGATGCCCTCATCCAGACAAGTTCACTGGGCGACTCCTATTACCTAGATTCTACAGTAGACAGCCCTGTAGCGCCTCGGCACGCGGCACCTGTCAAAGAAGAAAAAGTTGGAAATTGGTCGCGTGGCGCGTGCAAAGCGAGATTAAAACACTCAGTTCAAAGCTCAATGATGTCAGGACTGGCTCTATCTCGTGTCAGCCCCGACAAGGTTTTACTTTTACTGTGGCCAGCGTTGCTGACCTGCAGCCCGTATGCGTCGTGCCTCTTAAGCTTGTCTCCTCTAAAGGCCGTTCTGCTGATCGTGTTTCTACCTACGCCTTTCCAGAAGCCATCAGCAGTGGCCTGACAGATTCGCAGGAGCAGCAGCTGTTTGCTTTGCTGGAAAAGCATGCAAAATCTTTTGATGCTTGTTCTTTTCACATAGGGCTGGACTACCACCGCAGCACATCCTATTAAGACAGACGGAACATCTTTTGTTGGCGTCTCTCATAATCATATAGTGGTTTTGGGACGTTAAACCCCACATATCAATCATCATCTTTTGTGCACTGTCGCCCGTGCCGCGTGTTTATAGCTGAGCGAAAAGTCATAGAAAAGAACATAGCCGACATTCTGAAAAGGGAGACGATCCACCCCTCAGCCAGTTCTCGGTCGTTCGACGCTGTTCTGGTGCAAAAGAAAGATGGTCCTGCACAGTTTTCCGTCGATTGCCAGGCGTTGATTAACATCACTATGAAGGTCCCATATGCCAGACAACGCATTGGACGCCATTGATTCTTTAGAAGATGTGGAATATTTTTCAGGCCTTGGCTTGTGTGCCAGTTATTGGAAAAACCCTATGCACGAATGAGACACAGAAAAAGTTGGCAGATCCCACGTAAAGTGAGTTAGACGACATACAAAGCGAGGAAGGTTGCTATGTCACTTTAAAACGACTACAACGTTGCAAGGCGGGCGTGGATTATGTTGTGTATTACTTCCATGCCATTATTATGATGTTTGGACATGTCATATACCTTCGACGTCTATTTACGTCCCACGATACCTAATTCAGTATACGTTAAGCTAGCGAAACGGCCGCGAGCGCGCTATGAGCGTAGTATAGAGTTGAGTTTTGAATGACACGCATATACTGATTATCATGTTTGGACGTGTCGTTTACCTTCGTCATTCATTGACGTCGCGTAAAAGCGAATTTGGTAGCACGTAGTCAAGTTTTAAAAGCGTAGCACGTAGTCACGTTTTACATGACAAGCCTGTCATGATTATCATGTCTCAACGTCGTTTATTCACGTCACGTGATACCAAATTTCGTAATTGTGAAGCTAACAAATGGGCGCGAGCACATCATGAGCGTGGTACGTTGTCTTGTTTTTACATGACATGCATGTCATGATTATCATGTTTGCACCAGTGATATACCTTCATCATCCAATGACGTTACGCAATACCTAATTTGGACATGTGAAGCTCGCGAAACAACCGCGAGCGCACTATAAGAGTAACTTGTATTCAAGTTTGAAAGGACTTGCCTGTCATGACTGTTATGTTAGTATAAGTAATTTACCTTCGTCGTCTCTTCACGTCACGTAATATCAAATTTCGTATATGTGAAGCTATAGCGAAATGACCGCGAGTGCACAACGAACGTGTTATGTGGCATATTTACATGCCACGCATCTCATAAGAAATATGTTTGCACCAGTCATGTACTTTCGTCATCGGTTCACTTCCCGTAATACGACATTTGGTATATGTGAAGCTAGCAAAACAGCCATGAGCGCACTATGAGCATAGCATGTAGTCATGTTTTACATGACACGAGTGTCATGACTAAGTTTGGACAAGTTATTTACCTTCGTCATCAGCTCATGTCCCGTTATACGATATTTGTATATGTGAAGCTAGCAAAGCGACCACGAGTGCAACATGAGCGTAGCGTGTAGTCACGCTTTACGTAACACGAATGCCATGCCCATCATGTTCGGACGAGTAATTTACCTTCGTCGTCCAATCGCGTCACGTAATACCAAATTTTGTATATGTACAGCTAACGAAACGGCCACGAGCACACCACGAGCGTGGCATGTGGCATTCTAACGTGACACGCACCACAAAAGAAACATCTTTGCACAAGTCATGTATTTTCGTCATTAGTTCACGTCTCGTAACACGAAATCTGGTATATGTGAAGCTAGCAAAACAACCGTGAGCGCCCTATAAGTATAACATGTAGTCAAGTTTTACATGCCAGGAATGTCATGACTATCATGTTTGGATAAGTTATTTACGTTCGTCATCAGTTCACGTCCCATTATAGAATATTTGTATGTGAAGCTAGCGAACCGACGGCGAGTGCAACATGAGCGTAGCGTGTATAGTCATGACTTACATGACATGCATGTGATGATTTCTACGTTAGGGTTTGTCACTTATGTTTTCCATGCGGTCGTGTCATACAAGTTTTGCATTATGCCATGTGAACGAAATCACCGCAAGAGCAGCAAGACCATGAAATGTAAATCAGGACATTTATGACCATTACATATATGCCACGCTTTTCGTGTTAACACTATTTACTTATGCTCATCGCACTTTTATGTTATTCTATACTAATTTTGGTCTATACCTTCATCGAAATGGCCAGAAGAGCTGGAAGTAATAGGCTGATTGATAGATAGTAAGATAGAGACAAAGATAGATAGATAGACAGAAAGATAGATAGATAGATACGCTCAAAGTTGCCGAAGTTCGCCAGGAAATGCTTATTCGCTTATAAAAACAGCTTTTGCAACCACGGACGACCTATACAATTTCAACGTTATGCCTTTTGGCCTATGCAGTGCGCCTGCGGCTTTCAAGCGCATGATTGATGTCGTTCTGTGTGACTTGATATAGAGGACTCGCCTGTGCTACGTAGATGACATTGTTGTGTTTTTATCAACGGTTTCTCACCAATTGCAACGGTTGGATGATGTTCTGACTAGTATTGTAGGCATAGGTCTTCATATTAACACCAAGAAGTGCCATTTTGCCAGCGAATCAATTAAGGCCCCTGGTGATGTCTTGAGCAAAGAAGGTGTTTCTCTGAGCCTGAAAAAACTGCTGTCGCACTTCGGTTTCCTCGCCCTGAAACACGTAAAAATTTGCAAAGCTTCCTCAATGTCGCCTCTTATTTTCGGTGGTTTATGCGAAACCTTGCCTCCATAGCAGCATCACTCCTGAAGCTACATGCTTTTCGTATGCCCTTTTCGAGATCTCAGGAATGATAATGGGCTTTTGACAGGTTGAAGAGGGCCCTCATGACTGATCAGGTAATTGGCAATTTTAACGAGGATGCACCTCCTCTTCTACACCATGCGCCAGCGGCTGCGGTTTGCCGTCGTTATTCTACAACGTGACAACTTGCGAGAGCATGTCGTTGCATACGTCAAACGCTACTTTCCACTGCCGAGAGGAACTACACGATCACAGAGCAGGAGCGCTTGACTGCCATTTGGTCAGTGCAGAAGTGTTTTTCTTATCTTCATGGCCGCCACTTTACTATTGTAACCGACCACCACGCGCTACGCTGGCTTTCTACGTTGAAGAACTTGTCTGGACGCCTCGACCAATGGTTTCGATGCTTTCCAGAGTATCAACAGCTGCAACAGCTTTCCAGAGCTTCAACATCGTTTAGATGTGTGGCAAGAAAATTGAGAAGTCAACGCCCTTCCTCGCTGCCCACTACATACTGCCCCCATTGCCATTCTCGGAACGACTGTGCAGGACAAACGCTCTGGCTCCACTTCTATGTCGGTTAGATCTCTGGCCGCTATAGACCAGCTTCCTTTAGAGAACGAGCAAGACTTCACTTCTCGCCAGCCTTTCGACGTATTACTTCTTTCTTTACTTTCGACGTATTACGGGCTACCTCGCTGGAAATTTGCCGTCTGCCTAACGTAAGGCTTCGCCGCCAACTCTCGCAACGTTTCCCTAAAGGGTCCCTGAAACGGTTTTTTCATGCTCCGTTTTTGATTTGACCCCTACTGAAGCGAATCATTGCCATCATATTTCAATCGAAACAGCCATTATTAACAGAGCTACGAGTACTGAAAAGGTACCCTCCTCCTCTGTTCCGCCTTTCACCCTCAACCTTTCCTTCGAGCGCTCGGTGCTAAGCTCCGCCTTCAGGGAGCCTGCGTCATGATGTGACGTGGGAGAACGCGTGCGTGAAGTTGTGTCGTCTGCTTCCGGTAAGTCCAAGCCAGAGTAGAGCCACCGGCAGTCAGGCGCTTGACCGCGGCTGGGCCAGCTGGGTGATCGTCTGTTTGTGCGTTCAACGCGAGCACAGCCTATGTTTTGTTTCACGGCGCTTTGGACCACTGCTCACCATGGACCCCGGACTTGAAGAGCGTTTGCGCCGAATGAGCGATGAAATGGTTTTCGAACCGTAGAGCGACACACCATTTCACGATTCTGTGCTTCATGCCGAGGACGACAGCGATAATCCGCCGCCACCTGACTCACCGGACTTCCATGACGAAGTCAACGATCACGGGTAAGTGTAAATGATTTAAGTAGCCCTTTTTGTTCGATACTTGTTCGCCCTTGCGTCCGCGTTTGCTGTGTCGCGTGTGTAACTTCTTCGTTGTGCTGCATAATCACGAGCGAGCGTAGAAACAATTTCATTATTGTGTTTCATTTCGCGGTATTTGGGCTGTGTCAACGATAACTTAACCCGATTTTTGCGAGTGCAGGTGCGACAGCGGGCTTTGTGGAGCAGTGGCAACGGCCGTTGAACAACTCTGCGGTCGCAACATACCGCAAGTTGTTCGGGAAAGTCCCGACTGCTGCATAACTCGGCACGAAAGCGCGTGCCTGAACTCCGCGGTGCTGCGTGCTGTAGAACGGCATCGCGGTTGAAAGCGAAGTGCACAGGTAAGAGTGTATCAAACAAACAAAAAAAAACATTTTGAAGCTTCAGTTCTAGCAACGTCATCTTATGCCTTCTTTCGTGAAATATAGCTTTCTCGCGAATCGCTTCTTCAATCCATGGATTTGGCAGAGGCCTAGGTGACGCAACACAGTTCTATTACCTGCGTACTTAGTGACCGCCTACCGGCAGCAGTTACCGTCAGCCGACTACGTGGGCTTCCGATATACTTCTGTGGGCACGTGAAAGATTTTATATCTCAACTTAAAATTAAACTGCAAGCTGCCCGTGCTTTCAACTACGCCTCAACGATATCCACACATAAATGATTTCTGCATTCATGTCATTTTAGGTTCACCTGTCTTGCACAGGTTTGTTTTTTCCAATGGACTTGTTATGCAATCTTTCGCTCCAAATTAGTTGTGCATGTGCATGATTTTCCAAGAGAATAATATGTAGGGCTTGCTTATCGCATCGCTTATTATGATAATCGCAGACTATTTAGTCAACAGGTAAAAAGTAGGTCACAATAGCCAAACACAAGCAACTACCAAACAGAAGACACCAAAACAAGAAATCAGGTGTATTTCTGAAATAGGCTCATTTAGTCATCTTGTCAAACTTGTGATGTCATCTCAAGTAGATCCAGCTCTGTTTGGGCTGCCTCCCGTAGCACACAGACGTGAAAATATGATGTAGCTCTCTCGCTCGATTCACACAGTGGCTTTTGTGTGCTGCTAGCCATATAGCACACACGGTAAAATAACATTTCACAGCGCTTTCCACAAATCAGTCATGGTTTCACGGTTACCGAACTGCCAAGAAGGTTTGTTCCATCGCACTTGTGTCAGAAGACTTCAGCTGCGTCACCACTATGGTTGCATTCTCTCTGCTTAACCGCCCTTTTCACGTTGCCCTATTTACCAGTGTGAGAAGCCTTCAGCTGTGTCGTCTCTACGGTTGCATTTTCTCTGTTTCACTGAGCTTTCGACATTGCTTCAATCCAGTGAAGCTCTCTCGCTCGATCCACGCAGTGGCTGTCTGTGTGCTGTCAGCCAGAACACACACACGTGAAAATAGATTTTATGCCAGTTTCACTGTAAGATTTTGTTGCTGTGCTAAGTATTGGTGACTACCCGCCATGGTGGTCTACTTGTCGTGGAACTGAACTGATAACCTGAAGGACGCTGTATCAAATCTCGGCCGTGGCGGCTGAATTTTCAGTGGAGGTGAAAATGGTTGGGGCCTTGTTCTTAGATTTAGGTGCATGTTGAAGAACATCATGTGACCGAATATTTTGCACCTTTCACGATAGCGCATCCTCATTAATATTGCATCACTGTTTTGGGGCATTGAACCCAAACAAACATCATCAGAATAAATGCATGTCACTGATTCGACGTCGATGATGTTGGAAAGCGTGTGTGCCTCTGAGCAATGAGCTCTTCCCTAGATGGCCATTCATAGGTGAGCGATACATGCCACAGTCTTTGCTGCCTCATTGATTGCAATGCTCTACTTACACGATGAGAGTTCACGGAGGTCCATGACATTTTCCAACAGCTCTTAACATAGGCTGCATGGTGAAGAGAGACAAAGTCACTATCAAGCAAGGACACATTACAAAATAAAAGTAATTTCCATATTTACTTGACGGTAGGTCAACCTACTTCACGAATGATACAAATCCAAATTTTTTTGGGGGGGTGGTTCGTGTGACAATAAATAAATAATTTGGTGCAGCTACTGACGACCGCTAACATGAGAAGCACGCATGCTGTGGCATGGTTACAATCCTAAATTTCCCTTCAGGCTCTGCTTTCAGCATATATTATTGCACGCTTGTTTGAAAGAATTTTTCGTTTACCTATTACCTAGTCATTGCTTGTAATCCACATTGCCACTGTTCGTTAGAAAGCGCTATCTGTTCGATAAACCACCAACAGTCCCTTACCGGATGCGCACCCCTTTTTTGAACTGTTATTACTAGCTGCACCAGCTGGAAAGCTTCTCTGCAGCGGTGAGATTACAAAAAGTAGGAGGGTCGTTTTCAAGCCTCCTTGTATGAAATAATTGAAAACTAGCTGATACAGAAACCAAGGAATGTATAAGAGTATGTTATAATGTGCTCTTCTATTGGTACTGTAGTAGTAACTGTGACATAGGGTGTGAAAATGAAAGAAAAACTGTTTTGGACCTACAGTAGCCAAACCTACAACCCTCAGATTACATGCCCGATCGTTTATCTTAGTAGAACTACATTACAGGTATCGAATTTTGTGTACAGTACAAAGACTTTCTCTTAATGTGATAGCAAAACAGAGCTCAGATGACCAAAATTTCGGTGTCAGCTCTGTTTGTTATAGTGAACTGAAGTATAGAAAATTTTTTCTGAGAGCAATGTCTCTACTGAAAGTATTTGGGAATGCGCTTGCTTGTACTGTGAAAACATGTTTGAGTAGTTAAAGTGGTGATGGGGGCTATTTTTTGGAGTCACTTGTGTTCATATTAGTAGAAAGAACAACAGATGCAGACATGAGGAACACATACATAGAACCAGTGCTCCGCTGTGTATAAGTTTATTGATTGTGTCTGCACCTGTTTTTTTCGCTCCTAATAGGAAGAATGAAATACGAATGTTTCAGCGAACTTTCGGTACATGTTTCTTCAAAGTTACACTAGTCCCAGGATTTCTTATAAGCTAGTGTGTTATTGCTGGTTGTTTTCAATATTGTAATTAGATCATGCATGCAAGAGGAAACTTGCAAGTTGCAAGTGCATCTACCAGGATTACAAGTTCAAAAACCCAGTTTTCAACATGCTACTCATGTGTAAATATCAGCCTTTTCAGGTAATTTATCAGAGTGGGCCAAAAAACTGCGCTAATTTTATAAATAGTGCACATGCTTACTTTTCTCAACGTGCCAAACAACATGCCAGTGTGGCATGTTTGCCTTGTGCTTGCGGCAGTATAGCTTGACCCTAGAATGTTGATCTGGAAAAAATTATGCCCAATAAGTCCCTTAGACCTGCTGTCATGAACGCACACAGTGCTTTCTACAAGAGTGATAAAAATCACAACTCCCCCTTGCATCTAACATTCCTTCTTGAAACAATAATTTAACAATTTCACATAAAGATGTGCTTTTATTAACTCAATGTTTCTTAGATTCACTTGCAAGTTTTGCACAAACATATAGTATTTGTTGTCAACGAGCGTATGTGCATGCCTAGATTCTCAACAGCAGTCAGACACTTGGGAAGTCCTTGCTTTTCCATGGAGACATTGTAGGGAGCTTCTGGTGACGGTGAACAAAGGTGTAGCAGGAGGTCTTTTGTTAGCACTTGAAAAGTATACTAGTAGCACTGCAAGTTTAACTCTCCGACTTGCACCAGCTCAGTGTGTAAAATATAGCCATTCTGCATGGCAAGCACACTGTACGTCAGATACTTGGCGCTATAGCCAGGAGAGTCACATCGTCCATCACCGAGTGCATCCACCATGGCTGCTTGTTTTTTGAGGACGAGCTGGAAAGACAGGTGGTACAATGCATAGGTTCTTTTAGTATTCCACAATATAATCAGGGGACGGAAACTCCCTGTACCTCCCACGTATTCGCTCTCAGCAGCGGAAGCGCTGATTTTACCACTGGCAGTTGCCGGGCATCCTAGTAGACATAAAGCATGAACAGAAAATTTGCTGCATGATGTCTCTGGTTAGGTCGACAAATAGAGGGAATGGACAAAAATTGAGAGGAGGAGGCTTGCCGTTGACGCCCTCCTTTCCCACTTCGCATGCAAGTGGAATGCGCTCGTGCCTTGCAGGTCTTCTGGCCGCTCGGCAATGCGGCCATGAAATTTTGGTAATATTTTTTTCAATATTTATTCGTGTTTATGAAGAGGCAAAAGTTAAGCTGACTGATTTATTAGTATGACGAAACTCAATCGACAGGAATGAAATGCCTTTTCATTGCATGTTTTGCATTAAAAACAGGTACATACACGTAGTGTGAAAGTGTCAATCTATAGATACAGCTTCAATTTATAACTGACATATGGGCATAATGACCAAACGTGGAACCTAATATCTGAATTAATGTTAAAACCATCAACAATTGCGGGTAGGACACATATTTGACTCAATCACGTTTGTTATGATGACGGGCATAGAAAATGAGTACCAAAAGAGACTGAAGGTCAGAGGCACGAAGATGTTTGAAGCGGTCAGAAGTTCTTCGAGAAAGAATGTCACTGCAAACAGTGTTTCGGCACGTTCACTTACCCTCATGAGAGCAACAGCGTGGCCTTGACGAAGAAAAGTTCACTTGTCGAAACGCTGCCTTCATCGACATACTCTGAAATAATATTTAGAAGAATGTAGTTCAGCACGTGTATTCGAGTGACATTATTAGAAGTAAGGACTCACATAACTTCGAGATTATAACTAGAAGAATTTCATAAGCAGGAAGAGGCTCACAGTGGTTCATTCTTTGTCCCGCCACAAGTTGCCGTCTTTATCTTTCTCGTAGGTGACACGGTAACCTACCGAGATGACTGAGCGAGATCAAGCTTCTAATATCGCTTAGCGAGAGGCAAGAAGGAGCGGAGGCAAGCGCTACAAACGCAAGTCAATCCCTCTTTGCGCTGCACCTGATTTAAAATTCACGAAATAAGGAATAACAAAAAGCATATAAACAAAAGAGAAGTTCTTTGCGGGACGTAGACTTTTTTGTTTGTAAAAACTTGCGACGGCCAGTGAACGTGAACATTCACATCAACCATTAAAACGGATCTTAGAATGCCCAGCAACTTATACGAGCGTGCATGTTTTTTGAAACTGAAACTAGTGCCGAGTTTCCGGGGCCTGGTATAATAGCAATGATGTTTTATGCCGACATGCCCACGAGTATTTCACCACTGATACATTTTTACCACTGTACAAATTCATCATCTCAAACTCAGTTCTATTGTGAGTATTCATATCACACAGCAAGATAAATAAGGCAGTATGCTACAACTGTTTGTAAAGCTATGATTTTTCCAGATGACTGGTTTCAACATATCGATAATAGCATGCAAAAATATCAGGCTTTTCTTTCGCATTGTAATAATAAAATCAGATGGGCTAGTTTTGTACAAGTATTATACAAAACGATTTCATGTTCTGAATTTAGATAACATTGACAAAGATATACAGATGGAAGAAAATGTTTTGCACTTACTAAGTTTATGGTAAAATATGCTAAAAAGTAACATTCACTTTACTGCAAGAGAAGTATAATTTGTGTTCATGCTGCGTAATATGTCTAGAAGTCTTGCTATAGTTATATTTAGATGTTGATCTATAAGTGCGCCAGTGTTATTGCAGGGAGCAAGTAGGCCCCCTGATAGTTAGAAGGCACACTCCGTGATGGCTTGAGCACCAAGGCATTGGATGGTTGCAGCCACCACGCAGCCCTAGTAGAGCATGCCAGTGGCCAGGAGAAAATTGCTGGCTTCAGCTCCACTACTTCGAACTAAAGGCTGGCTTCCCCACCGGAGCTTGTGAGGTTGCTCGCAGACCTCCTCTACGACGACCAAAGTTCCCATGAGGCTGCAGTTCAGGTTGCCCACTACTTGGCCACATATGGAGCAGTTCATGACGGGAGCTCTGAAACACAATGAACTTTCATTCGTTGTGGAGAGGCTCTTCCATTGTTAGAACTCTAGTGCTGTAGCCTTGATGAATACTTCAGATGAATGACCCCATCAGACATGATAGTGCTTGTGTGTTACTCAGTTTGGCTTGGTTGAAAGAAAGAAATAAAAATTTGAAGGCTACATTTTTCTTTGCTAGACATAATATTCTAGAGAACTAACCTACCATAAGGCCATAAAAAGTATGCGAGACACTAATTATAGTAAACATAATGTAAATGAGAAGAAATTAGGTTGGACAAAAAATTGCTTGCCCGGAGCTGGGACTGATCCTGCGACCGTCACATAACGCGTCCGATGCTCTTTCTAATAAGCTAACACGGCGACCATTCCCTCGTCCTCTTTATCCAATATATATGTGCATTTACAAGTTCCAGCATGAGTCAGCGCTACTAGCAACTATGACGGCGAGTGTGAAACACTTTTTCTTCCTGTTGGTGTCGCGTAGCACGTGATGGCGCTAATTGACGCACTCGCATTTAATGCACATATGTCCCCCATTAAGTTGATGAGAGAATGGTCGCCGCGATAGCTGAGTTAGTAGAGGACGTGATGTGCAATTCGAAGTTCACAAGTTCAGTCCAAGTTCACGAAAAGCAATCTTATACACATTTTTTTTCACATTTACATCACATTCACAACTAATAACATCCTTAATACTTTTTTGGCACTATTGTTCGTTAGTTCTCATTAATACGGCTTGGGTTAGTTAGTGGTAACTGACAGACAATTATGCCGAAAAGTATAGATGTTATTATAAAGTAATTTTTTCTAAGTGTGAAGAAAAGTGGGCGAAAAAATAACTTTGGTGGGCAGGGACTGAACCTGCGACCTTGGAATAATGCATCTGACACTATACTAACTGAGCTGGCATGTTGGCCATCCCCCCGTCCACTTTATGGGATATGTATGTGCATTTAAATGTGGAAGTGTCAGTCAGCGCTGCCTGTTGCGATTGTAGCGAGCGTGGGACACTCATTTTTTTGCCTATAAGCATCATACAACAGGTGATGTTCGTACGGCTGACAGCTGACTAATATTGCTTGGCATACTACCCGATGGCTTTAGGTCTGCCAGAACGAGACCCTCGCTATGGATAAAAAAATTAGGGTTTATTTACGGGCGTGTTTTTTTGTTAGACAATATAATGAGAACTGACTGGCAATGAGAACTATTCGGCAATTTGCAACCTTCCCCCCTAAGGTCGCTGCTTTTAGTTTCGCCAGCGTGGACTGGGAGATCTTCCTCTCGTAATGTCCGTGTTGCTACCTCTATTAGGTTGGGGTAAATGACCAGGAGAGGGCGAGCGTGACCGGAACCCAGCGGAAACGTCCCGCGTGATCGTCGTGGTTGTATCAACGTTGCATCTTCCGTTGAAATAGCGCCGAGGAGTAGTGGACGGAAATCCTTTGTACCCAGCGACGCGGTGAGAACAATACCGCACGATGCGCCTTGCTTCACCACAATGAAAGCACAAGGGTCTGTAGCCAGGAGTACGCCAGATGTCGGTTTTGCGGAGTGGAGGTCGCATTGGCGTCGACATTTCCCTGTAGTACCAAGGCACTGTCGGCGGCTGTTGCTGGTGGTACTGCTGAGGTGTCGGCACGTTCGATAGTTATCGACGGAGAAAATCTGCATAGGTTGGCCTAACCGTGTCAGTGTTCAGCTCGGGTAAGTGAAAGCGCTTGCCTTATCTCTTGACGCACAAATTCTGTGACTAACGCGATCGCGCAATCTTCGACGCAATCTTCACCTCTTCGTGAACAATTCGCGTATCAGGTTAAGCAAAGAATGCTCTTCAGGTGCCACAGTGGTAATGGCGGTTGCACTGATTTCTCCGCTGTAGTTTGGGTGGTCGCCTCCTTCATAAATTCGTCGACGCTTGAAGGTGGGTTCGCCACGAGACCAGCAAAGAGCTGCTCTTTGACACCATGCATGAGGTGGCGGATCTTTCTGCTCTTGGACATATTGGGATCGGTTCGATGGAAGAGACGAGCCATGTCAACAAACATAGCAACAGATTCGTTGGGCTTTTGAATCCGTGATTCGCGGAGCTGTTGTGCATGCTCCCGCCTTTCGGTGCTTGCGAAGGTGTCCAGGAACTTCCACCAGAACTCGTCCCACGTTGACCACATGCGATTCATCAACCATGTGCGAGCCCCGTCCTGAAGAGGGAAATAGACGTACCCCAATTTCTTCGCAGCGTTCCACCCATTAACGTAGGCTGTGCGCTCTAACTCCTCAAGCCAATCATCTGCGCCCTCATATGTGTTGCCGTGGAAGTCCACAGGAATTTTAGGGGTGAAAACAGTCACCTGTGTCGTGCTTGTGCTGTTCATGGCGAGGCTACTGCTTCCGGGCACGGTCATCTTTTCCGTCCAAGGACCGAACTCTAGGCTTAGGCCTAATAGGTGGCGGCTGGCGCGGCGAACGGGTGTTTCGACGAGCAGAAGTCTTTGTGGACTAGATACTGGGCTGTTGGAAGGTTTCCTGGATATGTACCCAGCTCCTCCATTAGTGTCACGACTAAGAGACAGCAGAAATCTGGTATACAAGAGCTCACTTTAATTAATGCAAGGCGCTCGTAACGAGGACCGAGCACGAACTTCGTCTTTATTTCTTGCTGCGGCCAGCTCTTCAGTGCAGGATGAATGCAACAATAATGACGAGAACCAACTGACAATTATGCCAAGCAAAGTATAGAGGATGTTATTAAAGTACTGTGAAGAAGGTTTTAGCTGCAATCATTATGTTGCCTGTAGCATGTGTTGTGTTGCTTAGCAAGTGGTTGCAGTGCACAATGCGACAGAAAGTATATGGAAAGCCAGACCCATCACTGCAAGGCTTCCGTTGATCCCTATTCCTCTCTACTAGATAGCCTTCTATTTTTTTTTTATACTGACACGAGTAAAGTAAGACTTTTCAGTGTCATTGAAGCACATTGTCTGCCCTTCTTGCATTTCGCCTTGCAACGAATCTTGTGATCGGTGCTAATCCCAGGCAAACTTCGAGAGGGGCTGCCTGGCAATCAGTAGAGTGAGCACTGGGATATCAAATAGGTGTGAGCATCCACTCATCTGAAGTCATTACTTCACCTCCAAAGATATTACTATAATTTGTATTCCTTATGTTCTCGATAAGGTGAATTTCTCCAAATACTTCGAATGTTTACTGAATATAAGTGCACTGGAGAAAAATTAAGTGGCCGATATAGGTAGTGTCGTAGTGAAAGATTCAAGTATAATGTCGACAAATAGCTACAGCTCAATTGTGCGCTAATGACAGTTGTATTCTCGATAGGATAAAAAGGAAAAGCACTGCTAAAATGCTTGTAGCTTTTAGCAGTCATGATACAAGGTGAATACCTGAATTTACGGTGCTTATTATTACATTGTGCTGTAGCGGAAATGCTAAAGCAGGTTCATTTAACCATTGCACGGACCATTTAGGTGCATCTCTTCACAACCAAGAAAACGGAATTGGCACACTACATTTTAGTAATAGCCGGAAACGCGGCACAAGTATACTATCACAAAACAGTCACTCCATAAGCAAAGTGTAGCGTTGTTTAGAAGTCTTATATAAAGTAACTGGTAATGTCTTGAGCAAAAGAAGTTGGAGTATTATCACATAAATAATGTGTACATAGTGTCACATGAAATCATTTTACTGTTTTTTTGTGTACACCGTGAAACTGCCTTGGTAGGTGGCAGCCCGTTGTGGATGCTGCGAAAAATGTAGTTGTACACATGTGTCAGTGTGCCCCTTCTTATTTGGTGAACATCTATAAACACGTGCTTGTAATAAAAGAAAGTGTTCATAAACCACAGTGTGCTTTCGTGTGAAAAAAGTCTTATGCTTTCGGCCGGGCTGTGTTCTAGTCAGGCATAGGTTTCAGCAAATGTGCTGTACTGATCTTACAACTGGGCCTAAGCGTACTCACTGCAGGGAAACGTGGTCTTTATTCTCTTTGTTATTTCATTAGAGGTTTTGGCAACATCTAAAACACTGCTTTATTATAGAGCATAATGAATTGCAAATGCGTACCAACATTTTTCGTTGCTGTTGTCATAGAAATCCTCTTGTCTAGCTAATGTCAATAAAGAGGCTTTATAAATGCTGCTTATATAGTCTAAATCTTATATTGGTTACACTCATATAAGAGCCAAAGTGGCATAAGAGAAAAGAGTGTGCCTACTTTCAAATAATATTGATAAGAAAATTCGCGCGATTCTTCAACTACTCCTCAGTGCATGTTTCTTATACAGGTGCTCAATGAGGCCTATGGCCAGAATTAGGTGTGCCCTAGGGGCCTGCCCTACCCTCCTTGAAATTGGGATGAAGGGGTGTGTTCTACCGAACATGAATAAGGAAATACAAGTTTTTAAACGCCCTCAGCAGATGGGCCACTCCTGCGAATTTTTTGGCAACGGGCCTGCATTCAATGGTACAAGCTCTTATGTGCATCTGCAGGTTGCCCTGTAATGCATGAAAGTGTCTCGGCAGGCTTTTCACAGGCATGGGACTGCCTCGACACATTCGTGTAGGTTTAAACCACAAAGGTGTGAAAAATAAGCATGCACTGCAGAATGGACCATTTGTGTTCTGACAAAGATATGTGAACTGTCATGAACTACTCTACAACGAACTAGCTCAAGCTGACCTCTCTGCCTTCTAATAAACTATCACAACTACTTTATGTGAAATGTTTCACGGAACTAAGGGGCTTAACTTCTTTTGTTGCAAACATGAAAGGGCACACACAACGCCGGAGAATACCAGTATCACGGGATAGTTTCAGTATGCGAACTACTTTGTTACTACATGCCCATAACATGTTAAAGATCACTGAATGCTTGAAATACCTGCAGAAACTCTCACTGAATGAAGGCAAGTATGTGACGTCAACTTCAGCAGCTGGATTTTCTTCCTCAGCAGAGAAAGATGCGTCTATTTAGACATGTTTCAGCAGCTGGCTTTTTTTAGCGAGGGAAGATTCATCCATTCAGATGGGTGTTGAGCCACCGAGAGGCCTGAAACCTCTGGGAGCTGTAGCACTGAAGC